CACTCACTACAGTAGCACTCTGTCATGTTCATGTAGTTTGCTCTGATACAGGAAAAGTAGCCAGCGTTCTTACCCCTCCAAATTATTTTGTCTGTGAAAATTTTCAACGTAATTGCACCATTATCACTACTTATTGTTGCTGTGTGGACATGGGTATCGTCATGTGGGTCCTGTTCATTTGTTAGAAAATAATCCAAGTATGAGGTTTTTCCGTTCTTACCCCAATTCGTGGAGTCATACACATATTCAGTCAGTTTTGAACTTCTGATGGCTGTAACGAGCTGCTTATGGAACCACTCTGTGCTGTTGTACCCTGTCTGCTGAAATGTAGGGGAGGAGAGTTGAAGTTCCCAGCTAGTAGTGTTTATTTGAACTTCATGTATGGTATTAGTAACATCGCTTACATCGTCATATCTTCCTGGACTATAGTACACGTAAGAGCTGGTATATTCTTCCAATCAGTTATTACCGCAGCAGTAGGATGATTCCGTGGCATCGATTAGTTGCGTACTATGTACTGTTACGACACTGAAAAGGCTAATCATGTATATTATCTCTCTATCTCATGTTTTGTGTACCTTATCGCATAGCCTTACAATCTCACTCCATCATCCATAATGTCAGAATTGCTCCTGCCTTCCTGATTGTTCGTTTAACATTTACTATCGACTTGTTTGAAATATACAAGTCCTAAATACAATTTATGTTCTACTCTCAATGTTTTTACTAACATGATCAACTTACAGTGGGTAAATAAAGTCAAATCAGATCAATAGTTTGTTAATATCACCTAATGTTTGTCATACTACAGTCAACATAGTTATAAATGTGACTAGTTAACTAACATGTATCCAATGTTTGAATTCCCTCCATCTATTATACATTAAATCAAAGCAGAGTCACATGTGATCGGTAGACAGTACATAGAGAAAAAATATTATTATTATTGTGGTAATTTGATTCATGTTGATTGTTTCAAAATAATTTTAATGCATGATTAATGGCTCATGTATTGAAATGAACTGAATATATAAACTAAAGTAAACAAATTGTCGTTTTTGAAACATGAAATATTGAAAACTCATGTGAATTTTAAAACAA